AATCTATGTCTAATAACTTTGACTGGCAATCTGATTGCCTTGTTCATTTCTGTTACCCGGGTGATCTCAAATTTGCTTTGATTAAAAATCATGTATCCTTAATTAACTGGTGAGTCATCTTTGCGAAGAGTTCATTTTAAAGTAAAGCGCAGCATCATCAAATAGTAAGCCGTTGCTAGCTGCTTCCACACTGAAGCCAACAAGCCTTTGAGATTAAGGTCACCTGTGGAGGGGGCAGGTAACTCTGTGACATTGTGTAGTTTCATCTCTTGTCCTTGGTTGTTTTTATGTCTTTAAATAAAGAAAAAATTTGATGCAGACTGAGGGGGTACTCTTAGACACCCAGAAAAAAATAAGGACCTGGATCTCTGTTTGGACACAGAATTGGCCAGCACATTGGAGTCCTGGCTGTGAGGCTGGGTGTTTCTGATACCCACCTTGCTGGGTGATTTGGGGAATGTCACTCTTCCTTTCTGAGCTTTACTCACCCCATCTTTTTATGACAATTGGGCTGAGTTCTAAAGAAATTTTGTTTGCAATAGTATGAAGCATTTTCCTCAGCATATATATGATACTAGGAAATATGTTTATGCTTATTTACGGAGTAAAACCAGGGTAGGATTTTCCAAAGATAATTAAGCATAAAGGATTAACTTGTGCAATTAAATACTTTTCAAAGACTCATTATACAGATAACTTTTAGGTTATGAAGATATGAAATGTGTCTGCTTTACAGACAGCTTCTACTTGCCCTTTAATATTCCATAAACTTGTCCTCATTTTGAACTCCTGCTTGCCAAAAGTTCTTCATTACCATCACCTTTGCTTGCTCCATGTACAAATTTTAAGTCAATAAATAAGACTGCTAGCCTTTTCTTGCAATAAACCCACTTCCATGGAGTTGATTCTGACTCATAGGGACTCTATATAGGGTTTCCGAGGCTGTAAATATTTATGGAGCAGATAGTCTCATCTGCCACCCAAGGAGTGGCTGGTGGACTTGAACTGCCAACCTTGAGAAGAGCGGCCCAGCACGTACCCAGAAGTGCCACCTGGGCTCCTTCTCTTGCACGAAAGCAAAGCTAAATAAGACCCTCATGTGCTTACTCTGACTTACCTACAAATCCTTACATATATAGAAACAGCTCTTGTTTGTACTCTGACAACTGCTTATATTGATTTTTTTTCCTGTCAGAAGATTAAATGTTGTTGCTATGACTAGTGTTAAAAGAAAGAAAGAAAGACTTCTAGTCTAATATGACAATACTATATTTCCATGAAAATGAATAGTTTCAGCTAGGTCTTCAGGTTTCAAAACTTTCATATCCACTGGCTTTGAGTCAATTCCGACTCATAGTGACTGGATAGGACAGGATGGAAAACTGTGCCTCTGGGTTTCCAAGCAATAACTCTTGATGGGGCTAGAAAGCCTCTTCTTTCTCCTTCAGAGAAGCTGGTGGTTTCAAACTGCTGATCATGTGGTTAGCCGCCAAAGGAGTGACCCACTATGTCGCCAGGGCTCCAGTCAGCAAATTTAGACTCAATTAAATGTCTTCCCTTGTGATGACTTCCCCCAACCCGATCTTGACTTTGCTGATTGATTGGATACTGATGCTAGTTACAGTCTTGCCCACTGCTAATTAATGACACGGATATCTTTTTAAACAGAAACTAGCTCTTTCCTCAGTTGTGCTCCTAACTGTTATCCCATCACTAAAGTAACTTATTCTTGTCACCTCTGTGTCTGAGTATGCTCTTTGTCAGTATCTGCCTGTCTGTGGGTGTGTGGTTTTGTGTGGATGCACTTATCCTCTATAAATCTATACCACTCCCATGAGACCTTGTCATCCTGAATAGCTGGGCTGTGTGGTCCAGGCTGGGGGCACTGCCTAGGTGGGCACAAGTTCCCTGCAGAAGCCCACTCTCTGGCAGTGCTGTCCTGGGGCTTGGCCACCTTTCTAAAACGTTGTCCAGCAATCTACCAGGAGCCACTCTTACTATCTTATCTACTGTCAAATTCAAGTTGAACATCTGAACCTGGTGGAAGCTTGATATATATAACCAGTGTCTACCTAATCGGTATTGTCCACCTCGGAGATGGTTGACTCTATTGTTGGGAGGGACTACAGAAGTCTTCGAATGAAAGGTGGACACATGTAGAGGAGTAGGAGTGGCTGTAAAGGATTGAAAGTCATCTTCAAGAACGGAATGCCCTTGCAGTGGGTGATGGCAGAACACGTTGATCTAAGGCTGATAAAGAAGAATCCCATTCTTTCCTTGAGTTTGATGAACTAACGTCTCTGTGTTTGGGTCTCCTTTTTTCTTTTGCAAGAGCTAGGGTCCCCTGGAAAACATCCAACCCTGATCCTTTTTTTAAAAGAGAAGTCGAACTTCTCTCTAGATCTCTGGTAGTTCTAGATTCTGCCCGTTGTCCCTCCCCTTGCTCCAATTGCACATCCGGCCCAAGGAGCCCCAGGGACAAGTGAATTTGATCTACTAGTTTTGACTTTTTCATGATAGACTAGCTCAAGCGAGAAATTGTAGGTACAATGACTAATCTGGGGTTAAAGAAAAAAAAGTACAGACTATGATACCAATGTGACATCACACTAATTTTGATTGGCCATTCTCTTTTTCTGATTTGTCTGAATTGACTAATGTGTGCGGCACTGAGTAGAGGTAGGCTGAGACCTACAGCTGAGCCATTAACTCCCAGATGTTCACGGTTTCCAAGGCAATGTTCTTTGCCTGTCATAATGACTCAGATGGCTCCGTACGTGCTCTCATCTCGGCACCTTTTGGACTTAGTCAACTCCAGAAAAGGAGGGAGGGAAAGAGAGAGAATTTGGTGGAAAGCAATTAGTCTGCACTTTTGTGACCTTCCTGCTTTCCCTTCTTGATGAATTTTTGGGTTGGCTCTTGCACCAGTCAGCATGTCATTTTCAGTTGCATTTTGTTGTACTCGACAGATAACCAGTTTTATCTAATTAAACAATAATGATGGCAATGCAGTCCTTTTTCTGGGAATTAATGACCAGCTGGGAAAAGCTGATGGCTGGAGAGTCAGCCAAAGGCTATTAGCTTCAGTCTGCGATTAATCTCCAAAAATGCCTATTTGTGATGTCACTGTTGATGTTGATAAATGGAAATGCAAAGGCTATTTACTGATGTTTATCATGTACTTCTGAATAACATAATGCCTGTGCAGTATCCTAAGGATGTGCTTTTTAGTTGTTTTTTTTTTAACTCCCACAATTGCCGTGGAATCTCAAAATATGCTGCTTAAATAGCCGTGTATTGAAGTGGAATTTCTGAGTTCCTATATAATCTTGGGAAGGTTTTTTTTAGTTATTATTCCTTTTAGAATGCTATAATTTAAGATTATTTAAATATTTGGGATGGGTAATCCAAAATTTGCCTTTCGCTGTGACTTTGGAATTTGATTACTCTCTGTATTATCTTACCCAAACTATCTGCTCATGACAGGAACTGGTTGCAAGTTATTTGAATAGCAGTGGTTGCTCGCGAAGATGTGCATTTAGCAACGCAATTCTGAGCAGTTATAGCCACACTCCTCACAGAGGAAGAGGCTTCACTGCTGGGCGAAGCTGTGGTGGTGTGCCTGTATAATATTTTTTATTAGGGCTGCTGAGCACTGGAGGAAAATGCGGAGAATTGACCAAAATATTCATTGCCTTCCTGCATAATTTAATGACATATAAATGAAAACAACAATTCCAAATACAAGCAATCAGCAACTTGTGTAGGACCCTTATACTCTCTTAAAAGTTATGTTGAGATTAGTATCAATCCTCTCCTCCCCACAAAATATAACAAAGTTCTGGCAGTCCATCCAGATCCCCTCCAGTAACCTGGGGATATTTTGTCAAACACAAGAACATCAGATGCTATCTAATTTCAGCCATCAACTGTTTCTTTTATGTATTTATTTCCCCCAAACACCCCTGTATGATTCTTCACAAAAGAAATGTACTGGTGGTTTCCATCCCAAATACATGCTAAGTGTGTGCATTTGGAGGAGTTGAATGAGTCAACACATCATTAATCACAGTTTGGGAGGCACTGACTCATTCCGGGGAAAATAGCGCGGCTGCATTGGGAAGAGTGTGAAAGAGAAAACATCCCTTGTGGGGTCAGGCCCTGGTTCCCACAAATGCAAATCCAAAGCCACACCCATGTTGCTGGGTGGCTATCAGCCTCGGGAATATAACAGAGGACTCTGTAAAGTCCTTGCTTCTGTAGCGAGAAAACACTGGTGATTTGCTATCCTGATTAGGAAATGCACAAAAAGCCTTGGAAAAGTTGGGGACCCGGGGAGGACGTTAGTCTATACGGAAAGCCTGGCCCTTCCACAATCCAGCTAGGTAGTCCTTAACCCAGTGTTGAGTATTAGAAGGTCCACTGGAATCCGTTGTCTTCATTAAGGGGTTTTGACCATCTGAAGGCCCATCCCCCACAGCCCCAAGTTCTCTTTGGAAATCCGAGCATACAGCCCAATGACCTGATTCTTCTGGCATATTGCAGACACAGTAGTTACTGCCTGGAAGTCGGGCCCTTCCCAGTAGATTAAGAAAAGAAATGCCTGCCCTGAATTTACTGATAATTGGTGGACATTGGCATTGGTTTAAACGGCAATTTTTTATATTGTGTCTCAAATAAGAGCCCCCTGGAGGCGACATGGTGCGACTTTGTCCCCTTGTGCAATATGGGTAGCAATAGTGAAGCCTTTGTTCGAGTTTCTGCAAAGTCTAACACTCCATTATTTTCGTTGTCCTAGCAGTCTCGGTAGATCTGGGGCATGAGTATTGGAAACCAGGCCTTTCCTAATCAGGTGTCTAAGCTAGAAAAGGTTGTCCTTCTAAACTTTTCTTAGGAATATTGTTTCGTTAAGGCTTCCCCTGGGAGTAGATTAGGGTTAAGTCGATGGCTGCTATCATGAAGCTCTAACTTGAGTTCATTTTGTTATGTGGTGACCACAGTGCTGGATGGCGCCCCCCCAGGCACACAGGAATACATTATGTTACGGCAAGATTCCATCCAATCTGCGGAATTAAAGAAAAAAGAGTCCCCCTTTCGTGCTAAGTGTCACGAAATCTTCTGCTGCCCGCTGAAGCAAGTACACCACAAAGAGAACACAGAACCCGAAGGTTTGTGCACGACAGCCGCGTGTTTTGCTTGTTTTCTCTCCTTCTTCTCTCTCTTTCTTTTGGATTGTGCCTTGCCCTCTGGTGTGCTGTGTGTTGCTCGGCCCCTGACGTAGTTAGGTGGCCCCCTGGCTGGCTGGTGAACGTGTTATGCAGTCTCAGATGGGACACTGTATAAGACAGTCATCCTGGGCCTAGCCCGCAGCCGCCTCCTGCTTCTTGCAGCTGACGTCTGTTCAGCTGCCGTCATTACATTGCCCGCGTTGGCTGCCAACTTTGCTTGCTCCTGCAGCCCACATCTGGCCACGTCCAGTCAGCTGAGGAATGGCCCTTCAAAAATATTTTAAGGAGACGATGACTCCAAATTGTTGTAACTCTCCTCCAACCTCATAAAGCTTCTGCATTGCGCTCAAAGAATGCTCATGGTCTACTTCGCTCGCTGACGCAGGCCCAGACTGCCCCTGTAATGCACGCCAAGTTGTAATTTGCCATGGCCAAATATGCATGCCTCAAGGAAACAATGAGTAGTTTGTCTTTCTTTTCAGCTCAAGCACAGGTTTGGACAACTGTCTACTTGCTGGTGCTTAAACTGAGGTTCACAAGGTATTCATTGCAAACCATGCCACAAAGTTCAATCTGCCTAAAAAGAATATTCAGTCAATCCCTACCCTGCAACATTTTTGAATATCCCAGAGAAACATACTTCAAATTCCTCTAAATTAGAATGTGGTAAACTTGTTGTCTTCTGTGTACACCTCACGTTCCCACGTGACATTTTGAGAATTGTACTGCTTATGCGAATTATAAATCAGCCTGTAACCCCCATAGTATACTTGCAGAGCGCCGGTGAATAACAGTGCAAGTAACAGAAGTTACGGTCTTTTGGCAGTTGCTATAGAATTGGGCCTTGATGGTTCCAGAATGCTTTCTAAAGTAGGCTTCCCTCTATTTGCCTTTCACTCTCCTAGAATCCTCATTACCACTATTTTATGACCTAGAAAACTCTGCCGTGTGATTCTGTTCAATGTCTGGTATGTAAAGACATTACTTCTAACAAACTCCAGCCAATGGTATTAGATGCAAAATTTGAAATCTCAAGCTCTCCCCTTTTCCTCCTTTCTAAGTGCTAGTTTAAAGATCATTGACAGAAGAGGAAAAGCCTATGGGTGTCATTGCTGAATTGTATTGCAACAATATAAAAGAGCATTTTCATTTACTTCTTCTACCAATGGTATCCAACCTATCCATGTGTGGATCCTATAGAGTGAGTAAATGCATTTTTTTGACAGCTCCATTGAGAGGCTCATCATTTGATTTGGTGCTTTAATGGAAGACTTTTAATCCATGACTTTACTGGTTATAATCCATTTAAATAGTTTCTGCTTTCTTTTCTCTAAAGTTATATCTACTCTTGTTAAAACAAATAAAGTTAAATGCATTCTTTAAAAAGGGATACATTGCACATGTATTTGCAAATCAACCTCAAAAATGAAACTTGGTTTGAACAGGCAGCTGGTTCAATTCAGTCAAAGAATAAGAATCTCCCTTTAAATTGTTTTAACAATACTCGCTCGGATTAAGAAAACGGTGAAAAAACTAATTTTAGCATCCTCCTCCCTTTTCATGATTACATCTCAGCTTCACGACTTCTTCTTTTAATTTTCACAATATCCTCTGGAATGTGTTGGGAGTAATGTTTCAAATGTTTTGGGTGTGCAGAATTCTCTAGAGACTGGTTAGCCTTTAAACGCTCTTAAAATGATATTTGGCTCGTTGTTAATCTGCTCGTTCTGTGTGGCTTCCTTCCTGTTAGCAAGTGGCCACCGTCCGTGGTTGCCGTGTGTGCTGTTTGTTGACGAGCCTGGTCTTTGCTCAGGTTGAAGGGTTCCCTTAGTCATCTCCTGTGGGATCCGAGCCCGTAGGCCTCCTCTTATTCCTAGGGACTATTTTTAAAGAGTATCCAACTCATTAGAGGCTTTCTGGAATGGCATTTGAATTCTATTTAAATTCATGCCGTACCCCTTCAAGGAAGTTAATGGTCATCCCAGACCTTAAAATGAAAACACTTGATCTCTGTACAAATTACCAGGAGTCCAAAAGCCTTTGATGAGGGAGAACAAAAATATGGCTGTGGAATCCATCTTGGTTAAATGAGCAAACAATGCTGAGAAAGTCATTGGTCTACTTCATGCAGGATACCTGAGCCCATCATTTTCAGGAGCTGAAAGAACTGCGTTTGAAAGGGTTCCATGGCCACTCTGGCTACATGGCAGATTCTTGCAAGACTGGTTTTTAATACTGTAAGGTATCAAATTCAGTTCTCTCTTAAAATGTGATGTCATTTTATTACAACTGCTAGAAATTTAAGAACACTTTATTATAAATGAATTGGGTCTTAGTTTTAAAGTATGTCACTAATTTGAAACATTTGATTCCCATGTAAAGTTATTTGAAGAGAGGAATCCTTTAATGGCTTCTGTTCTGTTCCAACACATGAGTTTGGGATGTCTAACAAGCTGCACACCAAAGTGAAAGCAAAGGACCCGATAGTTAAGCTATCCATTGTCGGTTCTATGCAGTGGTAAACTGGAAATGTGTCCTCTTTGACTAAATCTGTGTTTATGAAGTGTCAAAAATACTCGATTGAAACATGAAATAGTCATTCAAATTTGAGCGAAAATCAAGTTTTACTGGGCAAGGTTTTAGAAAGGACTAAATTACCGTATATTCTCGAGTATCTGCTGACCCGACTATCAGCCGAGACACCTAATATTACCACAAAAAAAACTGCATTAAAATGTGTTGAAAAACGTGGCGTATACAAGAGTATATATGGTAGATCAAAATATTTCTAGTGTATATTTCTAGTGTATATATGGAGTTTTTTTTCTTACTAAATTGAAAAAAAAAATAAACCGAACTGTTTTCACGTTAGTGTGCACAAAGTCGTGATGTTTATTTTTCTTGGCACTATTTCCTAATGGCCCAGCTTTTTCCACTGTTGGTGCCTACCTGGGGTTTGGTTCAGATAACTTACTGACAAGTGTTTGTTGATCAAGGCTTTAGGCATCCAGAATCCATCGCAGTATTGGATATATCTAAACAGCTTTTCAGGATACACTAAATCCCAACTCTACCTTGCCAAAAACAGCCTACTATTTAGGAACGGCCAATTCTGAAACAAATTATGTAGCTTGGTCCAAATACTTTCAGTGATATGATTAGTTCCATTAAAAAAAAACCGTGATGATGTAATCTTGTGTGAGTATTGGAACTGATCCTCTAATCCTCCATGGGAGCCTTGTATTAGCATTTGGCCCAATATCAGCAATTCTCTTTGTCAGACGGAAGGCATGGAAAGAGTGGTGATCAGAACAACAATAATAAATTCTTTTTCTTGCTGCTCCAGGAGAATTTTGGCAAAAGAAGGTATAATCTTCATGAGTTTATTCTTTTGCTCACTTTTTCATTCTGTGTCAAGTGCACCAAAATTAAAACGATGTTTTGGAATAACTTCCTGAAGCCAGTCTATTATCAGCATTTTTGCTCATGCCCAAATGCCACTCATTGGACCTCTACTGGTATTTGAAGATTGTTAAATAGATCATACCAGCATGTACATGCTCGCAAGTTGATGCTTTCAAAAATCTTCTGATCTAAAGTATGGATTACCAGGGTTTTGTTTTAGGATTTAAAGTTCCAAGCCATGATAGTTAATTTGGAGGCCATCACGCAATAGAATGAATAAGTACAGAGCTTCTAACAATTAGACCATCATCTTCTGGTCAAACACGTGGCCTCTTTAGTACAGTCTTGTTTTCATACTGTGAGCCTCAAGACGCCCATCATCTTTTAAGCACAGAAAGGCGCCCTACCTTAGTGACTCTGGGCTGGAAGCCACGTTTCAGAGTGTTGATGAAGTACGCCAACCTGCCCCAGCCAAGAGAAAGCAAGATTCTGTACCAAGTGCAAAGGGTGCATATTTATAACAAGCACAATGACGCTGAGAACACCTTAGAAAGAGCCTCTGTCACCATGGACAATGGTCTTGCCTGAATGGTAGTATAAGAAGGAGGTAGGTGAAGGTTAAGGAATTTGATAAGGGTGATGCTTTCATTGCCATTCTCAAACACTCTCCAGCCATGGTGTCTCCTGTTGTGTCTTTCTCACTTTAATATGGATTTTCCTTTGGGAAATAAGATGAGCCTGTATTAATTTGAAGTTAATTATTCAGTAGCCATACTCTTTGGTAATTTTTAGCGCTGAGTAGCAACAGCTGATGTTTGACAACGAAAAATGTCTTCACTTCAGGGATGATGATGCTTGGGTTGCTGTGTGTCCCCTGGAGAAGAGAACTGAGGGTATTCCTATTCTATAAGAAAATCATCGGGCCTTGTCTTTTGGTGATTTTTAAATGAAAAGAAGACTTTCTTACTGGTATTTTTCTTTCAAAATAGCGAGGCATTTGGTATGTCCTGCTTTTGATTTATGGCCTGAGGGACGATAAATGATGGCAAAGAGTTTTCTTTGCTCATTGAAACAAATGTCAGCTTAATTCCGGTCTCTAGATTTTTTTTAAATGGCCCAACTTTAAATCAAATTACAGTACAGACAAGAAAGTGGAAGCCTTGGTGAATACCAATTAGTAAACACTGTGCTCTCCCCACAGGATGTTACATGTGCTTCCTTTGGTCCCATGTTGTGTTAGACCAGGTTGACTAGAGAAACAATCCAGTGACATTCATGTATGTGTAAGAAAGTTGTTTATCAAGAAGCAATCATAGATCAAGAAGCAATCATAGATCAAGAAAGCATCTCAGCCCAGTCCAACTCAGGTCCTTAAGTCCAATACTCATCCATAAGCTCTTCCTTAGACTCTACGCAGCCACACGCAAATGATGCAGAGTACAGGAAGATCACAGGCCAGTGGGTATAGAGTCATGTGGAAACATGGCAGGCTCCAGCAGCTCTCAAAATCAGTGGCAGAGACGGGGCCAGGTTCC